CGGCTTTTGGGATTCTGTTGATCGCTTTCAAGCTCGATGGCTTCCAGGTGTCCTTCTTGGATGGCCCGACGCTTGTAAGCTTCAAGCGTGGACAACTCAACCGGCTTTGGCTTGAATCTGTCAACGAACTTCGACTCAATGATCTGCTCCGGATGATCTTTGGCAAACTGAAGGCTTTCTTCGATGCTCAAAATCCGGATGGCTTTGTTTTTTGAGAAGGCTGTCCAGTTCTTTCTTTCGAGAGGCCCGAAAAAGCACCTTCTGCTCATCATTTAATTTGGCAAATTCCACCTGACCAAAGGATGATTTTGCTTTGGAGACGGACATGCATTGATCACGGTAGTCAAAGCTCGCTTCACCCCGATGTGACCAAAAAGTGGCTGTGGAAGAAGGGTCAGGCAAAACGACCCTTTTTCTCTGCTCACGATCATAGCGCCAGGTGGCGCCGATGAAGCTTCCTCGAACGCCCAGCTGTTGAAGGTCCTCATCCCGGTCAAAGTCCTTGATCTCCAAGTAAGTGGAGTGACCTGGCGGTTGAGGCAACGGTGGTGGTCCAGCTGAGAACGGATGAGGATATGGGGTCTGTCGTTCATCGGTTCTTGAGCGGCTTGATGGGCCAAAACGAAAGCTTCCACTGCTGCCTTCATCTACTCGAATCATTGGAATGTCATCCTGCTTTGGCGCAGCTCCCATAGGGAGATTGGGAGTTTCTGATTCCTCTTCTCTCACGCCGATGTCTTGCAGCGGCATGGTAGGGCAGGAAGTACTGGTGGTTCATGAGGTTCAAGAAAACTCACTCTGCGACTCTGAGGCATTGAGCTCATTGAAGGGTCATCACGACTTTGAGCCTGGCTGGATGTTTCAAGGCTCGATGGAGCTTCCTCCACATGTGTAGTCTCTGTCATCTCAGCATCGACGTCCTCAGTCGCATGGTGGTGCTCTGAAGGGTCTGCCTGAGGTGCCTCCTCAATGCGAAGGAGACGCAAGAGTTCTTCTTCCTGGAAGTCTGCTTCATTTGGAATGTCCTCTCTGGTGATGTCTTGGTAGGCAATCTGCCCCGGTGACTGAAGCTTCTGAAGAAGATCTTGGGACAGTTCTGCAACAAGTTCTGCTCCAAGGTTCTCCTCTGGTGTGGCCATACGAATCTGTTCAGTGGAAACCTGCCAAAGTCTGCCACGCATGGAAATCCACCAGCCTGTGCCACTTGGACTCTCTGCTAAAAGAACCCCTGGGCCTGCCCATCCTCGAAAGGTTGGGGTGTTTCTGAACACGTACACCCATTCGCCAGGCTTGAACTGTTTCTTGTCCGTTTGGCGGGTCCTTGCGTGGACGCTCCTCTGAACAGCTGCACGATCTTGTCGTCGAAGCCACTCCTGCGAGGCAAGCTCCCTGATTTGCCATTGTCTTCTGATGGGGTCACTTGCAGCAAGTTCCATGAGTTCATGGTCGAGGGCATCTGTCGACAAAAGGCTTGCTGGAAGCCGGAGTGACTTGCCGAAAACACGTTGCATCGGCGAGAACCCCCACCGATCCATGAACCGGTTCCTGCTATTCACAACTTCAGCAATCACCATTGGGACTTCATCTTTGGTAGCTGAGGCTGCACGCATTACAGCCTTGAACTTCTCTTTGAACACCCCTCCTGCTTTTTTCCGTGCGACTGTTTTGCCACGGAGATTGACTGTTGGTATAGTGGATGGTGGTGCCCAAACCTGAAATCATTTCCTGAAACCGCTGGCCTGTGAACTCTGGTCCTCGATCTGACACAAGAAGCAAGGGCGGACCGTAGTGCTTGGTCCACTCTGAAAGGAAAACTTTTTGAACCTCTTCTGAGGTCCGATTCTGGCATAGGGCCACTTGTTGGAAGTTTGTGCCCCAGTCCAACATGTTCAAAAAGGTAAGGAGCTCTCCCTCGACTTCTATGAAAAAGAGGTCGACTCCCACAACTTGTCCAAACTCAAGAGCCCGCAACAAATGACCTGGTCGTTGTGGATTTGGCTTGTCCAGGGTTTTGCATGCTGGACATGAGAAGTGGTTGCGAACCCAATCCAGAATGCTTGGTTTCACTCCGGAATGACGAAGGGCTCGGAGAAAGAGGTCATTTCCTGGGTGTCCCAGGTTGCGGTGAATCTTGTGGATCTCTCGTCTAACGGACGGCGACAATGAGAACTCGCCCTTCGACACCTTGCGAAAGTCTTCAACTTTTCTCAAAGCGTGTCGAACTTTGGGCTCTTCCGTCACACTTCGAAGTTGGGCTCTCACTGCCTCCTCAGCTGAAACTTCTTCAGGCTCGACCGGTTGGCTTGGTGGTCGCGCCCTCCTCAGTTGTGCTGCTTCTGCTCCATGGGCTTCAATTTCATCATCAAGGGCTTCTTCAAGGTCGCGGCCTTGCTCGCTGGCTAAAGGCCATGCCC